TTTTCTGAAGTAGAAAATGTCTTCCCATCCCTTTCACAAACCTATTCTGCTTAAGACAAAAATTGGGAAAAATCAAAATATAGTTCCTCTAGCAATGGCAGATACTAACGAAATTTAAATTTTTACTTTAGTTTACAAACCAAGTCTCTTTTAAGTTTGCCTATGAACAAACAGTTCACTAGGGTTTGAATAGCTAACAAACTGCTTGACCGGCTACTGTAATAAAGATAACTAATCCTAAGATGTTATTAAGTAAATAACCAGGAAAAATGAAGATAAATCTTACACATCTAACCACCTTAACAATACCTTTTCCTGTTCATTCTCAGTATGCCAGGGGTACTGTCTGTCCAAAAAGAAACCTTTGAAGGTAACTTTTGAAGCCTCCTCTGAAAGTCTGATGGCAGCTGCATGAGGCCCATGTCTTCATCTGAACAAAATTCTCTAAGCAGAAATATTTAATTATTGGACTAGTATGTCATGGAATGAGAGCAGGATAGGTGGACCCAATGACTTTCTCAGCGTACTCACTACTTTCAGTTCTGTAATATTTCCTAATCTTTATTTTCTCACCTTCCCCCACCAACCCATCAAAGGATCCATTTCCTTCTCCAGTAGTTAAAGACCCAGCCTCTGCTGAGACACAGAGAAACCATTTTTATTTAACTACCAGTCAAATTTGGCTATTCTATAGAGCTTACCAGTCTCCCTAACTGACACCAAATAGTATGAAGCTCTTGCTTATTTTAATTTCTTTACCTCCATGGAGGGGCAGCTAAGTGGCACAGTGGATAGAGGGCTGGGCCTAGAGTCAGGAACACTCATCTTTCTGAGTTCAAATCCGGCCTTAGACACTTACTAGCTGTGTGACCCCTGTGCAAATCACTTAACCCTGTTTGCCCCAGTTCCTCATCTGTAAAATGATCTGAAGATACTGCAAACCACTCCAATATCCTTGTCAAGAAAACCCCACATGAGGTCACGAAGACTCAGACATGAGTGAAAAATGACTCAACATCAAGAACCGCCACGGAGTCATTTCTTATTGTCTACAACTAAATTGATTTCTTCTTCACTGCTCCAAAACTCTGCTGTTAAAATCTGGGGGAACAAGGTAGGGTGAAAAGGGAATGTTATCTTCTTATAGAAATTTTTAAACAAGAAATACCACACATACCCTGACCCCATGGGGCTTACAGAATAGTTAAGGAATGGAATAACAAAACAAACGCTGACATTTTGGTTAGAAGTAACATACAGACGACACTCAATATTTGTAATTTCTTAAAAGTTCTACAATTTGTTATTTCCTTATGGTCTCATTTTTTCTCTTATTGATCCTTTGGAGTTAAGTCTGAGCTCCCCCTACAAGGTTTCTAAATTCATTAAGCCATTTTTTGAAAGCAACATGCATTTCCTGGTGTCAAATGCAGTAAATGTTTAGATCAGTTGTCTCAAATTTCAGTTATGTATTTGTTTCACCTTTGTAGCACCATTTGCTACAACCTAACCTTTTTCTCCAAAGCCTTGTTCAATCTAGTTAAATCTATCATATCAAAGGAAGAAAGGACTGCAATATATATAGTCTAGAAGCAGCCTTTTCTCAGGCATCTGCTCTGAGTTTTCTAAAGGTGGCTTATCGTTGATTGCAATTATCTTTGGATGAACTCATTTTCTAGTAAAGAGAGGTGCAAACTTAAAAAAAACTAATAAAGACTGTTCAGGATTAGCAGCAGTCCAAGGGCTCAGATGCTTGCCACATTTTTCACATTTAAAGGGTTTCTCTCTCCAGAAGCAATTATCTTATGTAAGGTAAGGTATCAACTTCAACACCTATCTCAAATTTCTCTCTCATCTAGCAGGTTCCCTTAATTCATTTATCAAAATATACAAGTTCACTACATATCTAGATATTTTGCATATTTATTTCCTGGATTCTAACTTTCTTCCTGACTGGAGGCAAAACACAACTTTAAACTACTAGCAAATTGAAGATTTTCTTCTCCTTCTTCCTAGTAGAACTGGAGAAAACATAAAACAAAACTCTTCAAAGAATTTCATGAGGTCAACTACATATACAATCTTATTGAGTATTTCACTATATAATGCTTTAAAGGGATAAAATGACTAGACAGCTACTTCAGAATTACACTTTGGTGCTGAAAGGGAGCCCTCCCTTTTACAACACCATTACATTGTTATATTTGATAAACTAATGTCCTAAGACATTGTTTTAATCAGTGGCTAAGGTCAGCAATACCTTTAGAAAAAGCCTCTCTCCATGTGGCTCTTCTCCCACTTAATTAGTTTTGTTATATCCTGGGCAAATGCTGAGCCAGTGGGACAAATCCAAATTAGTGAGAAGTCTCAACAAAATGGAAATTAACTGGGCTCCATTATAATAATACTTAATTTTTGAAGATGAGGGTATGGCTATGTGGCTGAAAAGACCAATGTAAGAATTATAAAGTCTTTCCTACACTGTCCATACTGTGAATCTGTATCCAGCTGAAATTTCTGAATAACTTGTTACTGTTCTTGCTATGGCCCCCTAGTATACAGGATGAGCCAGTCTTTGCTCAAAAAAACCCAAATGAACAAACAAACAAAAAAACTCCAAACCTTCTGGATTATCAGTCTGGTCTGTGAACTGTAGTTATTGCCCATCTATCCACAGTGATGCCATACTTCAGAAGGCTCTGCTTCAGTGGATTCTTAAAGTATCTCTTTTTTCCCCTTTTCCTGAATCCTTGACTTGAGGTATGATTGCCACCTAGGTATCCTGTTCTTCGATGTCCAGATCAAATGTGTTAAGCATTACTTTTTATTAATATAATGGAGACATTCATGGACTTGGTTAATGATGATCTGGTCCTGCTAAACTCAGGCTCAGGACAAGATTGCCCACAAACGTCATTAATAACCCAGCTCGAGAAATTGGTCCAGGTTACAGAGCCACAACAGATGTTAGAAAAAGTAGCTCTATAGAGATTCAATTTATTTAGTGCCTGACTTTCAACTTCTCATAAAACCCTGCTATCTTTCTCAATTTTAGTTTCCAACTTGTCAGTTGTGTTCAGTGAATTCCTGGACAATGTGAAGTCTTGTAGAATTCAGTGATAGCTTTCAGTCGTTTCTCCAGTTAAGATTCTCATGCTGTGTGTACAGTTTCCATGCTGTAGTTTTGCACATCTTGGCAAATGTGTACTATGCAGATTGGGTGGAATAGTCCATTTATGCCATTTTCCATGCCCAATTAAAGGGCAACCATCAACAGCTCTACATGCTCTTGATGACTTTTTCCATAACTTATGATGAAACTCATGATTTATTAACATGGAAGTGTCCGCCTGCTAGTTTTTTTGCTCCCTATTTGTATTATGAAGCATGGCTAGCTCAAAAAGGCTTAATAACAATGAATTTGTAATTTTGTTCTTCCAAAAGGTTGAACAGTTAAGAGAACTCTTAGAATGGATCTGATCCTGTGCAATAAAGGAAGCTGAAGATTGCTGAAGGAGGAACCTTATGGAAAAAAGACTACTCTATTTCAGAATTTGTGAGAAATTAAGGCATAAACTCTCCAAAGAATAGAAAGGTTAGGTGGGATCTCATGATCTAAAATTCTAGAGAAGAGTCAGTTCCCAAGTATTAAATCCTAAAGACATAAACAATTCCAGTGAGCAAGGAAAGAGGGACTGGTTTAAAGAGAATGATGTGGATACACATCAATAAATTAATTTTTCGAAAGAATATGTAAAGAAGGTGGAACCAAAAGCAGAAAAAGGATACTAACATTCTTATAAGAATAGTGTCAAGAATCCTAAAGTAAAAAATAAACTGAAGTTGTTGATGAATGCTAAGGACAAAAGAAAAAAAAGTTTTGTTTTTTTTGTTTACTATGAGAAGGTAAGGACCAAAGTGACAGGACCACAGTAAGGGACCACGATAAGGAATCTATGGAGATGATAAAGAAAAGGCAGATTTAATTCTTATTTTGTTTGTTTTCTTGGCCAAGAATAATCCTTGAACCAGAAAAGATGTCTCAAAAAATGGTTAATAGAAAGTTAAAATCTAAAACAGGGAGAGAGTGACAGCACCCAGTTATTCTTCTTGAGTTCATGTCACCAGGTCTAGATAACCTAGGTCCCAGGGTATTGAAAGAGCTAGAGGATGTGATTATTGGGCCACTTTTAGTTACTTCTGAAAGATCACAAAGAGCAGATTTGTCCCTATTTTCCAGAAGGAAAGAAAAGAAGGGAGGGAAAGGAAATCTGCAAGGTATAATAAGCTGGTGAACTAACCCGTCACATAATCTAGAAAAGAGGAAATGATCACTAAGTTATTATGATTCCACCAAGAATAGGTCATGCCAAATATGATATTAAGGTGGTTTTGCTTACCTGTTTTAAGGAATATACTAAGCTCTTAAGATGAATGAAATACTACAAAGTGTATCTAGACTAGCAGAAGATATGATGAATTCTCTCATGCTAACCTTGTGGTGAAGATGGAAAGATATAGGCTAGTTAATGGTACAGTTAGGTGAATTCAGAACTGGTTCAATGACCAGACCCAAAGAATAGTTATTAATGGGTTACTGTTCAGGAAAGAAGTCTCTAGAAGTGCCCCATAAATCCATTCTTAGCCTTGTGTTATTTTACTCTTATTTTTATTGACTTGAATAGAGGGAAGATAGCATGCTTGCCAAATTTTTAAATGACACAAAGTTGGGAGTTGGCTAATTTGGTGGTAATAATCAGGATGCAACAAAATTTCTACAAAGCTATCATGATAAACCAAATGTATTAAGGACAGGGACTGGAACTGCTGGTGACTAACTTCCTCTGGCAATGTGGATTGATACTGTCTCTGCAACTTATAATCTTAGAGAACTACCTAGAGGACTGAGAAGTTAAGTGACTTACCCATACAACTAGTATGTGTCAGAGGCAGGACTTGAACCTAGATATTTTTGGCCAAGGCCAACTTTCTATCCATCATGTCACACTGCCTCTCATAAATCTATTAAAAAATTTAATAGAGATAAATACAAAGTCTTACAATTGGGTTAAAAAAATTAGCTTGACAAGCACAGGGTGAGAAAAATGTGACTTAGATGATAATTTGTCTGAAAAAGATCTGGGGTTGTAGAGAACTGAAAGCTAAATACGATAGGCAGCGTGACACAGCAACAGAAAAGCTGACACAACCTCAGGCTTCGGTTAGAGGCAGTGTCCAGTACAGGTGATGGTCCTACTTGTCTGACCACATCTGGAGGGCACCCTATTGGCCATGCTGTGTAGGAGCTAATATGAGAGAATTCTGGCTAGGATCTTACCACTGATAAACACCAAAGGGAGTCAAAGTCATTGTTTCAATTAACTTCTTAAAGGTGATAAAAATGATGCCTCTGAAATCTTGTGGCACTTAGCCAACACTTTATATATTTAAAAAGTTTTTAAGTAGGCATGTAAGCAGGGCCTTCCTTCTATGCTTAAAGAGCTCAGGGAGAATAGCATTCTACAGAGTTTTAGAATTTTACATGGCAACAACTGGTGGTTTCTGCAGAAGTTAGGCTGGGTTGTTCTACTTTAGCAGAGCTCCTGCTTCAGTGTGGGAGCCCTATTAAGAAGTCAGTGAGTAATTATTTAGCAAGGAACAAAATGACATCAAACAATAATCCCCCATCAGTTCTTACTAAGGCTATTAGGTAGGAGATCAGTTCCTTAGAATCTTGTTGGGGAGATAAGATTTACTACATTCATGAGACAATTAAAAGACAGTATACAATCAAAAGCTAAATTGTATATAAGACTACAGGAACACTATAGCACTATAAGAGTTCAGAAAAGGGAAAGAAGTATTGTCATTTCTATAGAATTTCTCTGTGATGAGGATGGAGTCAACTATACTCCTATGGAGAGCTAAGAGTTGAGTCATCCATACATACTCTTCAGGAAGAGATAGAAGTCTTTGGTTTGGTTTTGATCTGCATAGCCTTAGATCTCTTCAGCTTTGGCATCCCACCTTTGATTACTTATGTTTTAGCTTTAGCAGCATGTCCCAGCCCAGGATTCTATAAGTATCCTTCTATGGGTCATGATGTACAAAAAGATGTTAGGCAAGCATTACTTGCTTTGCAGGAAAAAATGCCTCAATCTCAGTTTAAGCCAATTAATCAACAAGTATCCATTAAGCACTTACTATGTGCCAGGCACTGTGCTAGGCACTGGGGATACAAATCTCAAGCTTGGTGGATTTAAATGATTACATTGGTGGCCGCAGACAGGGATCCCTTGTATTAACAAGTTTGACTAGCTTCTTATGAGTGTCCTCATTCCCAAAAAGTCTGATGTTTATTTTAATGTGTGCATGTATTCTTAAGTAAGATCATCTATTTGACTAACTTTTCTTGCAGAAGGTTATGCTGGAGAAATACCCACAGATTAGACCAACAAAGGCAAGACTGCTCTTTGATGTACTTTTTAAGTGTGATTTGATTATATATTAGAGACTAAATAGTTTTCCCATGGGCACACATTTTTGAAATTATGGAAGTAATGGGAAATTTCACTTTATACACAGCTTTTCAGGAATGCACCAAATGCATCTAGTGAGGTGGAGCTGTAGTCAGAGGCTCTCTCTCTATTATGAATTCTGTGATGTAGCGTAAGAGTTGAACTCCGGGTAAAGGCTTTCCCACACTTATTACACTTGTATGGTTTTTCTCTGGTATGAATTCTCCTATGAAGAATAAGGTATGAATTCCGGTTGAAAGCTTTGCCACATTCATTACATTCATAGGGCTTCTCTCCAGTGTGGATTCTCTGATGTTTGGTAAGGTCTGAGCTCTGACTAAAAGCTTTGCCACATTCATTACATTCATAAGGTTTTTCTCCAGAGTGGATTCTCTGATGTAGTATAAGATTTGAGCTATGACTGAAAGCTTTCCCACACTCATTACATTCATGAGGTTTCTCTCCAGTGTGGATTCTCTGATGAAGAATGAGGTTTGAGTTAAGACTGAAGGCTTTCCCACACTCATTACATTCATAGGGCTTCTCTCCAGTGTGGATTATCCGATGTCGAATAAGACTGGAACTCCTGGTAAAGCATTTGCCACATTCATCACACTTATGGGACTTGGTTCCTGTAGGGACTTCTTCTGGTGTGACAAGGTTTGAACTCAGACTGAAACTTCTCCCTAGTCCTTTGCCTTTCTCTCGATGGCCTCGCTCCCCTGTGGGTGCTTTCTTATCTTTGACTGTCACCTGTCTAAACTCTGTCTTTTCTAGTCTCAGTTTTTCTTCTAAGTTTCTCTGTTGCCTTTCTAACCTGCTTTCCTGGTCACATGTTTCTCCAAATTCCTTTTGGAATTTTCCAGATATTTCCCCATGAGATCCTGTTGCTTCTGAAATCTCTTCCTTTGAAGTTGACTCCTCATTGGTTGTCCTGCTTCCACAACCTGACAAACAGAAAATACAAATATCATCCATTTCTTCTGTTGAAAAAATAGAAGTGCTCAATAAGCAAGTGATGTTGTTTACTAGGAAAACATGGCTACGCCTGGCAAAGTGGCTTCACAAGGGAAGTAACTGACAAGGCCTAAGAAGGCAAAGCACCAAGGGACAATAGGGAGAAATAATTTTTAGAGGTGCTTAAAGGGAAAGTTAAGTCAGCAGAGATGAGCTGCATGGACAATAAAACAAGTAAGACAGATGGACAGAAAGTTAAGAGGGAAGAGGGAGAAAGACAAAGATTAGGTGATAAAAACAGGTAACTCATGAGAATGAGCAAGAGGAACAGGGCCCATTAGGTGAAGCTTATATGTGGAGGGGAAGGGCGATAGCTAGAAGAAAAAGATGTCAATGTGGAAAAAATAGAATAAAAGAAATGAGTAGGAGAAAGGAGGTTAGGAGCTGGAGTAAAGAAAAGGATAACAGTAAGCTGAAACCCCTATTGCCATTTCCTACAACTTTAATTCCTACAGTTAACTCCAAAATACCATGAATATATGTGTGTGTGTGTGTGTGTATGTATAAACATACATATACCTATACACATATATTTACATACATATACCCATATAAATCATTTGCTTAAACAACATTCTATTTTGTTTAATCAAATGAAATAATGTATATACAGCACTTTGTAAGCATAAAATAGCATATAAATGTAAATTATTACTTAATAAGATCTAGAAGTTTCCAAAAAAGAACATCTCTCCCTTTCTGTAAGGGCATTCTCTTGGTACGATGGCAATTAAGAAGCAGGGCAAGAAGTTTCAAAGAGGCCCGATGGACCTTCGCCTAAAGAAACTCAAAGCATTTTCTCCATCCCTATGATCTCGAACTAAAAAAAGTAGTGAGTGTGAGAATAAAGAGACAGAGGAGAGGAGGCTATTCCAGCAAGGTATAATTAGTGAGCACAATTAACACCTTCCCTGATGCTCTACTGAGAATAAGGTAGATCAAAGGGCAAACAGGATATAAACCTTGAAGTCTTACCTTTCATGGTAAGATAACATAAATAAAGGTACTCATGAACATGGTTTAATTATAGTTCAGTTTAGCAATAAATATATTTATTCCTAGGAATATTTTTATTTATACTTTGCTCTAAAACTTCTATACTGCTTTAAGCCAAAATCAGTTGTCTGCTATCTTGATAAAAATGTCTATTTTTATAGGAAAAGTGAAAATAGATCATTTCTTATATCACTGCTCTTCAGTTACGCAGCAGGAAGCTAGGTGGCACGGTGGACCTTTGTCCACTGGCACTGGAATAAAGAAAATTGAAGTTCAAATCCACACTCAGATACCTGGTAGTTGGGGGATCCTAGGCAAGTTACTTAATTTAGTTTCCTCAACTGTAAAATGGATGTAATCAGCATTTACCTCACAGGGTTGTTGTAAGGATCAAATGAGATATTTTAAAGTGCTTGGTACATGGTATTTAATAAATTCTTGTTTCCTCCTAGAAACTTAAGTACTGGACCTAGGCAACCCTAAGTAGGTACAGTCACCTAGCAGCAACTTATTGTGCTTCAGGCACAGTGCTTAGAAGAAATTAATTATCTCAGAGACTTAATTCAGTGATAAAAATAACATAAAGGCCAAACAAAATGAACAGGAAGTTAAGCCTGTTTTTACTTCCTCCCTTTCCCTGATTCCCTACTTCTCTTCTATGATAGTGGAAATCTTAGTGTTTGGCTTCCATTGCATGTTATTTCTTTGAGATATTACCTTGTGGGAACATAAAACTATAGAAAATTAATTGTAAACACTTTAAATAAATTAATATTTTCTGTTGGTCTGGTAAAACATTTTAAATGGTAAGACTGTAGAAAATGTACAACAGGAGAGGAAACAGACCAAGTCTCTCTAACAGGTTTTTTTTCTCTGGACCTAAAGCTCTTAGTAGATAATCACATGAGGTCTGGAAATCCTGGTCACGAAGAAGGAAATGGGGAATATTTGTGGAATTACACAGCAGTGTTCTAGAAAACCATTCAGTAGGAGTGAATGGCAACAGAGAGGAATTAACCAGAGAATACATGTTAAAGTGAGAGGACCCTCCATAAAGTTCAGTGACATGCTTCCAGGGGACTAGCAGGTATTTTGGTTCAAAAGGATAATTAATTTATTTGCTTGCTTCCTAAGAGACAAAGAAAGATCCTCAGTAATGATATCCAATAAAGCTGGGGGAAGGTCATCTCCAGGTAACTGGAGGGATGAAGAAGATAAGGCCACAAAACACAAGGAAGTTCTCTTTTTCCATTTTTACAGAGTGAACAAATGATTTTGTGACCTTGGAACAGGGAGTTGAAACATCCTGCTTCTGAAAACAAACTCAAATGCTCTCATCTATTGACAGGCCCTCTTGGCCATTTCTCTGCTCAACACTCCACAACTAACTCCACAACTAAGAAACCAGGAGGCAAAGAAATCTTATTAGACAATGATCTCCCTTTACACCTCCATTAGTTCTTACCCTGGGAAAACATGTTCCCATAATTCTCCTGTCTGTTGTCTCTACAGAGGTTCCTCCGAGCCAGGTTCTGACATCCCCATTCCTCCAGGATGAGAGACACAGCCATGTCCTCAATTTTTACCAATGCCTGAAACAATATGAGATTCTCAACTCAGTTTTCAACACATCTAGTACAAACCTATGGGGTAGAGACAGATGAATTAAGATTAAGAGAAAGCAGTGAGTACCATAAAGGATCCTAAATGGGTATGGGCTTTTAGATGAGAAGAAAGGAGAGACAGCAATTAAGACACAGGAAGTTAGCCTAATTTGAGTAGGAACACACTGAAAATCAATGTAGTAGGTGAAATCTACAGAAGAAACTTCCAGAAGAATATGAAAACAAAGGTCTCAGTGAAGACAGAGGAAGCCCACAACTCACCTGGGAATCTGCTGTGAATAGTGCCTGGTCTCTAGGACTCCTCTCATGGGAAACAGGAACATGGGAAGCAGGGTAAGCTGAAGAAGAAAGGAGCTGTGAAATCAATTCTGTCTTAAAACCTCCCTTGAATGCAGAATACAAGATGACTCTATTCCCCTACTTTTAACCTCCACCCCTCACCTATGGCTAAGTACAATAACTCAAAAGAATGTAGAACTGACGTGACTGCTGCCTACTCATCCTTCAGTTTCAGGCAGTAAAATTTCAAAAGTGATTAATGGTATTTTAGAGTTGGAGCAGACCTGAAAGATAAACTATTCCAACAACTTCATTATGAAGAAGGATCGAGGCTCAGACAAGTTAAAGTGATTTGCCCCAAGTGTGACTTCCAGTTGGTCTTTTACTGTCACAGGCTATTCTTGATTTCTAAGAGTCACGACATGAAGAAGTAGATAACTTTGAATCCATGTACTGGGATCTGACCTGTGGCTCAATTTTATCCAGGCCAAGAGGCAACGACTAGAGGACTTTGTCATAACTAGGAAAATAAAAAGTGGCTTTAAAAATACCTTAAGCAGTAATAGTCTAAAAGACAGTGATGTTTCTGTGTGAGAGTCTATGTATCTGCCTTTCCAATTTTATCTTTGTCTACCTGTCTGGTTTCTCTTCTTCTCAACAATTCTCTCCATTGCCCTATCATAATAAACACGCATTTTGAGAAAACACACGAGTTGAATGTTTAGACAGTGACAAATTTGGACAGAATTGGGATAACTTATTACAAAATGGGATAACAGTACAATGAATTAATAGGTATCAGTGATGAGTTAGTCATGGCTACACTAATTGCACTACATGTAAAAGGAAGAAATTCAAAACAGAAGAATAACTTCTGATGTTGAGGAAACGTAAGTAGATCTTAAAAGTTACTGTAAAACTAAAAATGTTCTAAGTGCAAAGACACTGGAGATAAGAAATGGAAAGTGAATCATTAATAGAACTGAACCACTGTAAATTGTACAATGAAGTACAGCACCTCAGCCTTGTGAATCCAGCAACACAAAGAGTATCATTGTCCAGGTCTTTTGATAACACTTTCCAGTATAATTCCTCTATTTCCACAGGAATAAAATCTTGTTCCTTACCACTCTGTTGTAAAAGACTTGGCTTTCGTGTTACATGCTTGATCTGGGGGGTCCGATGCTGGAATTCAAAGCTGGAAGATCCGTGTGCTGCTCCCAGTGGTACCATCTCCCGGGACAGCATTTCATGTCCATGTACACGGACTGGTACCTGAGGACAAGAAAGCTGGGCTTATTAGTGAATCACTGTGGTAATGAGATTTAAAACTTCAGAGAAAAGACAAAAATCATCCCCTCCAAACATAGGACACAGTTAGAAACAGCACTAGATTTAAAAGTCAAGAAAACGGGACAAAATGGGATACCTAGCATTCAACAGAGGAACTAGTTCCAATTTAACTCAATAAAACCTTGAACAAAGCAACCCCAATGTCATGCTGAATCCCTTACTCCAGTTTCAAGGCCCACACTCTGCTCACCCAATCTATGTTTAATTTCTCCTTTCCCACCTGCTGTCCTGATAAATCAAGCTCAAGATCCTCCAACAGTGTCACTGCTTCCTCTCCACAATCAGGACGGTACTCCTGCAACCAGCTTTGGATCTCTCTGGGCAAGACAGCCAAGAACTGCTCCAGCACCAGGAGTTCCAGGATCTGCTCTTTTGTATTCATCTCAGGCCTAAGCCATTGATGGCAAAGTTCTCGGAGGCGACCCAGGGCCTCTCGCGGCCCAGAAGTATCCTGGTAGCAGAACTGCCTGAAGCGTTGGCGGAAAATCTCTGGATCAGAAGGGCTATTACTTCTTTGAAGGCTAGAATCCTGGCCCCAGAGGTGTTCCTCTTCATCTTCCTCTTCCACCTTTACAATCACAAGTCCCTCTTTATCTTGTATAGCCTGAGGGGTCATGACTGCAGCGTCCCTAGATTCTGCAGTCATCATTCAGGTTCAGAGTTGTCCTCACTCTGACGGAATCTGTGAGGCAGACTGACCGGAGATATCTGAGGTTTTTTTCCTTGCACTGCTCCTGAATTACAAAAAAATTCTTATTAAAAAAAAAAAAAAAAGTAAAATGACTTATGTTTCTAGGGCATCCAACATTTGCCCACCTTCACCAAAGGAATTCCCTGAGGGCAACTACTCCAATTAGTAATAAAACTGACAAGCAACTGTGACGTTAATGTCTAACTTTATTTCTTTAGGTTTGTCACAATGACATTTACCCGGGGCAGGCTAGAAGGCCTACCTCAAAGCCAAGAAAAACTGGATTCAAGTCCTGCCTATTTAGGTAGTGAGACTGTGGGCAAGTCACTAAACAACCTGAGTGTCCCTAGGGCAACTCTCTAAGCTTCCAAGTTAGAGAAAAGTTGCTGATCTGCATGGGTAGAAGGAGCTTTCTCATAGAGAGTTCCTACAGCAATTAAATCACCAGTTTGGTAGTCTTCCTCCTCATCTTCCCTCCTCCCTCTACAAATTTTTCCTGCAGTTTTTGCTGCCAATAAGTGAGGAACAGTGCATTCTTTATGTGGACTCTGGTCTGAAAGACAAGGCACATGCTTTAATCTGAGATCCATAGTAGAACCATGAATTTTCCACTTCACAGCTTTTAAAAACTGAAAAATAGAACATTTATTAAAACATAAAACATTAACAGTATAATGGAAAATACATATATCTCTACATTTAAAGAAACATGAAAAAATGTGGTACCTTTTTCACTAAAATGAACTGTTATGATTCCTATTCCAATGCTAAACATGCACAGAGTTGATAAGAATGTTCTTTTGTAACTCATCTTACTTCTTTTAATTTAGATCTAAATCTCTTTCAAGGGTAGGGTTCTAGGCTTCAGGCTAGGCAACAAAAACCCTCATAGCAACCTACAGCTGCAGTAGGCTGTAGGCTACTAACATAATTCTCTAAAGGAAGCTTTAGCAGTTTCCTTTTTCTCCCTCAAAGTTCTTTCATTTCTTTTCAAAGACAGAAGCAAGAAGAGAGTGAAATGAGAGACACATGATCTCTTTATATAGACAACATGAATCCCAGTTGTCTTTTTCCAATCAGCAAGGATTAACTGTTCACTCTCTACTCAAAAAGAGGCTCCCCTCCTCCCAAGCTTCAGGAATTGTTTGAAATTTGCTAGTTCCTCACCTTGATCTATGCCACCTTATCTTATTTGTTAATGACACTATTCTTTTAGTCATCCAGGACCAAACCCTAGGAATTACGTTTGATTTACCCTTCTATCCACCTAATATTCTTTGTTCTTCTAGGGTCAGTAAAGGTCTAAGGAGGCAACATCGGGTTGCACAAGGAATTTTGGGAGCAGAGAGTAGTTGTTAAGAGGTGACATAACTTCATTTTGTCCTGTATTTGCCATTTTTTACCATGCAGGACAGCTGTCTCCTATAATACCTCCTTTCCCCCTGACTGTTTTTATGAATGCAAAAGAAAACTCAGAGGACTTCGAGAATTTAAGGAAGTTGTCCTCTTCTTTCTCCTACCAGATAAACAGTACAATTTCCTTGGGTCTAGGGTAAATGACTATGCTAACAAGGACATATTTTTTTTTCCTTTGTAACAAGAGATAACAATCCTCTTTTGTACCTTGTAAAATACCTTTACCCCATCTAAGTGATCTATCTGCTCAGGAAGAATCATATCTTCTCTTTTGTTAATCTCTCAGGCTGAGTAGCTTTGGAGAAGAGGATATATAAATGTCATCTGTTAAATTAACAGACACATTTCCATCAATTGCTAGTGAGATGTGTCACACTGAGTGAAATACCCTGCAGTAAAATATTTCTCTGATTCCTGCTAGTTTATTGGCATTAGCTAGTTGAAAAGATAAGAAAATACATGCAACAATAGATACCCTATCTTATATGGCACGAAGGCCAGCCAATTCTTTTTTCACAAAGTCTCTAAAATCTGTCTCCTTCCATTCCTTTGGGCCTTAAGACTAATCTTTCTAAGAAACAGACTTTCATCATGTTACTCCCCTGCTTAACAATCTTTCAATAGCTCCCACAGTCTAAAGGCAAACTCCTAGCTTTGTATTCAAGGTCCCCAACAAATACAGCACTACCTCTCGCAAACTTTATCAACCAGCCACAACCCTGTCAAAACAATCTGTCTGCTCACTCTTCTCCATGTGTTTTCTTGCCTTCAGTAAACCTTTGTTCATTCTTCAAAGCCAAGGTCAAATCACTCCTTTTAGCCCACAATAATCTTTCCTCATGGAACTGTAACACTAATTATTCATTTATTGCTGGGAGGCAGTGTTGTGTAGTTGAAGAGATGCTCTTGGAAATCAGGAGAACTAGGTTCCAATCCTACCTCAAGATACTTACTAGCTGTGTGACCCTACAGCAAATCATTTAAGTTCTGAGAGTTATAGTTTCCTCGTCTATAAAATAGGCTACTTACTTCACAGGATCGTAAAAAGCACTTTTTAAATCTTAAAATGCCACTTAAATGGAATTTATTATTGAAAACATTTAGTGGTAAAATATTTTTTCTCTTTAAATCATATTTGTGACTTCATACATACATACATACATACATACATACATACATACATACATAGAACTTCTAGTGAAGAAACTCCTACCACTGATTCAGATGATCACCTGTCCCACATCTCTTCTTAGAGATTTGCCTCGGGCCCTGAGATTTGGAGACTTGTCCTATCACCAGTATTTATATCAGATGAGTAGCAGGCACCTCTCTACCTACTACTCCTACAGCTGCCTTTTAAATTAATCATATTCTATCTTACAAGATTATTTACTTTTCTTGTCTATTTTATTTACTATGACTTGTCTCTCCAACTAGATTCTATGGTTGGGGTGGAGGTGGGATAGGAAACATTTTTAAATTAAATTTAAAAAATTTATTAAGGACCTTCTATGCATCAAGTACTATACTGGTGATGGGTTTACAAAGACTAAATAAGACAGATTCTGCCTTCCATGAGTTTATAATCTAAAAGGGGAAAAAGGACACAAAAACCAAAGTACAGTGTAAAATAGAGGTACAAGGCAGCACAAGATATTTAGAGGAATATTGAGCTTAGGTCAGAGTAGCGAAAGATGGCAGCAAAGCATAACAACGGGGTCACAAAAATAATGATTTTAAAAGGCAAGGATATCACGGGTGGTGGTGGAAGCATCCATTCTAGGCATAGGGGAGTGCATGAGTAGAAACTCTTCAGCTAGGAAAAGGAAGGAACAAGGAATAAGGGGGGAAAGCAGTTTGCTGGAATACTGAGTATACAAAGGGGTAGTATGAGATCAAGTTATAAAGATAAACTGGTGCCAGACTGTGGTAGGCTTTGAATGCCATAACAAGGAGTTTATATTTTACTTAAAAAGACAATGGAGATCCACAAAAGGGTGTATGCATTGTACATACGTGGAGGAAATCAGTTCTGAAACAATGCTTTAGTAAGATTACTTGAGAAATAGCCTAAAGGATGAATTGATTAGGTAACTACCTATGAAGATAAGACAATGAAATGGGCCTAAACCTGAGAGATTAAAGTTAGAATAGTAAAAAGAGGACAGAAAAGAGTTACTAAGGAGACAGTCCTACTGACTAGACTTTTGATTGAATAATACAGTCAGTACTGGACTCAGTCAGAAAGATCTGGGATTCAAAATTACCCTCAGATATTACTTGAGTGAAACTTGGATAAGTCACTTAAATTAACCTCTTTGTGCCTCAATTTTCTTATTAGTAAAACAGGATAATTAATGCCTATAGTACCTAACCTCTCAAAGCTGTAAAGAGGCTGAAATTAGATAATGTATAGCAAATGCTTCAAAGTTTTATAAATGTCAGTTATCATAGGCTGCCTCTCAATTCCTCACCTTGGCACTTAAAGCTCTTTATCGTCTGACTCCAGCCTACTTTTCCTGACTAATTTAATATTATTCTCTATCATACATGCTTCTTGATTTCCAATCAGAAGCCTTTCTTGATTCTCTTTAGTTGTTACTCCTTTCCCCCTCCTCAAATTATTTTGTGTTTATTTATCATGCTCTCTCCCTTCCCTAGTTCCCTCTTTCCCTTTTCTCCCCAAGTTCCTTGATGGATGGTTGGGACCTTTTCTTTCCCCTTCCATTTTTATTTTTGTATCCCCAGTGCCTAACCACAGTACTCTGAATACAGTAGGCCTTAATACATATCTGTTAAATTGACTTCAAAGAAGTGAGGGTTAGCAATATTAAATGATAGAGAAATCAAGTAGGGTGAGGACTTTAAAAGGCCATTTTATTTGCCTACGTGGATCTCATTAATGACAGGGTAGAACAGTAGGAACAGAAAAGAGATTATAAGAGACTGAAGACTGAGTGAGTGGTAGGGAAGGACAGGCCATGAATGTAGGCTATTCTTTCTAGAAATCTGGCAGTGAAGGCAAGGAGCAATTGAAAGACAGCTTGGGTAAGCTAGAGGGGGTATATATACCTTCCACATACATAGCTGATACCACAAGCAGGCACTTAATAAATATTTGCCAATTGCTTCATTATATTTCTACAGGGAGACAACATGTACATACATAAGTATTTACAAAACAAATACAAGGTAAAGGCTATGTGAGAGGAGCAAAGTGGGTAGGGGAAGGGAAGCTTTGCTTTAAACTTTCTAGGTAACTAACTTGATCCAAGTTTGATTTGGTTGATTTGAAGAACAAGATGCCTACACCTACTCCTTTTAGAGAATATTTTAAACAAATATAAAATTCTGCAAAATAAATACATATATGCATATGCTTTTATAAATAAAATGGCTATCTTTTTTTAATCTATTCTAAAAAACCATAAAGAAATTCCTGAAATATGATGATCTGGCATTTCACACCTGGAAGAGTAACTGATGAAGCAATCTACCACTTTTGCAAATTTGAAGATTTCACTCTGTACAAGATTTTTCAGTTCATTTATAATATATTCAAATAAAAATGGAAGACAACAGAGTACAGTAGGCAGGACAATGATCTAAGTGTCAGGAAACCAAGTAGTTCTAGTGCTTCAAGTTGGTGTGATCCTGGGCAATTCAATTCAATAAATATTTACTGAATGTCTACCAAGTCCCAGGCACAGACTCAAGTATCTAGGGATACAAGGAAGAATAAGACTGAATCTTCTCTCATAGAATTTCCTATCTAGTGGGGAGTTAACTTCATGAGCCTCAGTTTTCTCATCTGTAAAAAGAAGGCCCCTAAGAAGAGTGAATGGCCCCTAAGGTCCCAAAGAACTCCTAAGTTCTATGATCTATGATCCTCTCCAGGTGAGATTATAAAGCTAAGAAACCAGCTTTCCCATAGCATTATATACAAATAACTCACTAACTTGAGATACTAGCATCCCCAAAAAAATCTTTTGTTCCAGAAACTGTTTCTAAAAGGACCAGCACAAAACTTTTAGAAAAAATAAACAGAAAATCCACAAGGTTTTAAAATAGAGCCATGAAGCCATTTCACCATGTGAATACAATGCTAATTTAACAAGAGATTCTACCCAAAGGAAAAAGCTAAGATTTAATATGATAGCCATTTAACATTGAGATCCAACTCAAAGCATGTTAAAACACATAAAGAATATTTAAATCAAGAATAAGCTAAACTCTTATTAAATTTTGAAATATGCCCAATGATCCAGAAAGGTATCTGCCAAGTAAACAGTCACAATAATTAAAGTGAAAGTAGTAACCAGCAGAAAACTTTCCAGGAGAGTGAAATGATCTTTTGTATGACAAAGCTGTTTTTTCATAGATGGCTGGCAAACAGCAACCGTGCTCTGTTTTGGTTGCACTAAATTCTCCACAATTCAATGGGGGAACTATTCATAAACCATAATCTGCCTAGAACTGGGCTTCACAATAAATGCTTTCTTTGGTCCCAGTCCATGTAATTTCCACTTTCTATGATGACAGAATCGTATTGTGTATTTGTGGGGGTGTAGGGAAGGAGGAGATTCAGCTCGGCTGAACTCTTCACAGCTTTATTCACAAAATAATAGGTCTGGAACGGTCTTTGGAAGATCATGCGATTCAATTTCTTCATTTTACTAATTTCTTAATTTTACAGACTGGGGAAACGTTGATCTAAAGAGTCCAAAGTTACTCGTCCAAGGTCAGCCGGCTAGTTAGAGACAACACCAGAGCCAGAATCCAGATCTCTATGCTCTGGGGTCTAGTGCTTTTTCTGCTAAAGTATGCAGCAACGCCCTTCAGAATACAAACAAAATTTCCAGCATAGAGACGTCAATTCAACCCTGGTCGCCCTGACCTAAAAACAAAACAAACAAAAACAAACAAACAAAAGAAGACATACACACCTGAATGCTAAATCGCTCATTAAAATGCAGCACTGAGTTCCACAAATCGGAACACAAAGGATGGGGTTGCACCTAAGGCCGCCCCATTTCACCTCTTAGGCCCAAATCCCGGCGTGAACAGACACAAGCCGGGTAATGACCAGCCTGGGCGCAGCAGGTGGGCCAGCTCCAACAATGTACATTCTGGAAATCGCCCCAAGAGCCTCGGACACCAAACAATCCCGACGGGCTCCTGAGGATGAAGCGTCTCCTGCCCTTTACACCTCGGTCTCCCTCCGCCCCGGAGTCGTTCCCGTGGCTGCCACGGAATCAGAAAGCCGCAGCAAGAATGACAGCGGGGTCACCGCTCGGCCCCGCCAGGGACCGCAGTCCGAGCCCAGACCGCAGGGCTCTGGGCTGACACCGCCCCTCCTTCCCATCCCCCACTCCCAGCTCGGGCTGCAGCCCGAGGCGGACAAGACGCCCCCACGCCCACCCACAAGGACACCCCCCCCACCCCTCTCCCGTGCCTGTCCGGGATCTCTCCTTTATCGTTCTCCGTCCAGGGGCATCGCGAGTCCTCCGGCTGGAGCCGGGCAGGTAGCCCCTCCACGCACTGGGCCCGGGCCCGGCTCGGGGTGGACCCCGCGAGGCTGCAGACTCTCCGCCCTGCTCCGGGGCCCACCCGTCCGCAGCGCACCCCCACCCCCACCCCTCGGGCCCAGACTTACTCACCGCGGACCCAGGGGCAGCTCTGGGCTGGGTGACAAGGAGGGGAGCGCAGACCCCTGGAGACGGGAGAGACGAGAGGAGGAAGGACGAGAACCAAGGCCCTCCGGACGCCTAGAAAGACACAATGAGTCACAAAGGGCGGAAGTAAGTCAAGGACTTAGCTTCCGGGGCGGAACAGGAACTCTGGGGACTCTCTAGAAAGTCCGGAGGTCTCCACGTCTCGTTGGTTCTTTGGTTTACCTACTTTCTGTCAATCCTTGGCCCCGGGCACCTCAGCGGAGTTTAGGAGGGAGGACGTCTTTGTTAAGAATGAACTGACGGGCTACAAAATAAACCCTCAGAAATCAACTATTTCTATAACAATAATAACAAAATTCAAGAGGCAACAGTAGAAAGGGAAATGTCCCAGGTAACAACAATATGCATAAAATATTAGGGGATCAGTCTACCAAAGCAAGACTTGTATAGATACAATTACAAAGTGCTTTTTTTTTTTTTTAGAATAGTGGGCAGCAATTATCTTTATACCAAAAATATACATTTTCCTTAACATTTAAAAAACAACAACACAAAATCTGAGTGGCTGTCAAATTCTCCACTGTTTTACAAATAGTGATGGATGGTGGAGGCAGAAGGGAGAACAGTGTGCATTCCTTAACCCTATAGGAAAATATCTATTTCAAAAGTTTTACTTTTTCCTTTAAGATCCTGAAGCTGGGGTTCTTGAGGATCTTCTTGTTAAAGATGACCAGAAGCTCCTCTTCAGATTTGTGGTGTTCGTTAGTCACTGCATAGTATTGCGCTAAAACCTTTTTCCTTAACTTTTTAACTGATATTTCATTGTCAGGGGCCTGGTTCAGAACAGCTTTGATAGTTCCTTTCCAGTTGAATTTCTCTTTTATAGGTGTTTCACTTTCTTCAAAAGCACTTTTTTAAAAAATGAAAAACAACTTAAATAGCTTTAAAGCACTATTCAGTGCTCACAGCTATTCTGTACCAAGGAAGGAAGCATTTATTAAGCACTTACTATCTCACAACAACCCTGGGAGGTAGGTGCTGTTATTATCCCCATTTTACAATTGAGGAAATTGAGGCAGACAGAGGTTAAGTGACTTGCTAAGGTTCACCCATCTACCAAAGTGTCATGAGGCCAGTTTTGAACTCATTTTCCTGACTTCTTGCCTAGTATGCCTCCTAGTAGCCAATAAAATAAGAAGTGACAATCAATAGTACTAAAGAATGAGCTGTCTTGGGATGCTGCCTGGAATAAAATATGGGATATCAGACTTCTGTGCTTTTTAGTGTTTTAGTGTTCAGTAATAGTATATATATACCAAAACCTCTTGAGTAGGCATTGTATAGTCTACAGAGAGCATTTTATCCATATGCAATAATAATGATAGTGGCTATGTTTGTCATAGTTTATAATAATTAACAATGATGTGACATAAGTATGTGAATGTAGTAATAATCCATAGAATCCTGGGAGGTTGAGGTGATTCTTTGCTAATACTGTCTTCTTGAGCCTTCATTACAACATGTCAATTGCTAGTGTCACTTAGCAATTAATATCAATTAGCTTTTTCAGAGGGATATTTACTGACATGATATAGCAAGAAGAGAAGTATTAAAATCTATCCCCGACACCTAGGGGCATACTGTCCCCTATACAATCTTGATTCCTGGGGAGAGTCGGCACAGTATTTTATTTATGACTTGGAGAAGGCTTTTATGAATTTATTTTTCACTTTTTTATGTGTGTGTAATTTAGCCTTTATTATTTCTCCCTTCCACTTCTCATAAAACTCTTACAACACATGTACTTAATCCAACAAAATAAATAGGATCTAAATGCTTAATGGAAAAGTTAATTCATTTTGTGGGGAGAAATAGATAGCAAAACTATAATACCCCAGGACTTCAATGTACCCCTTTTAAACCTGAGCAGTCTAATAAAAAGATAGGCAAGAAAAGGCATAAATAGAACTTTAGATAAATTAGAGATGACGAATCACTAGCAATTGATGAATGGAAGCAGGAAGGAATTTATATCATAGCCCATCCACTCCTATTTATTTTGTATCACTCATTGTGTTCTACCCCAAATGAAAAGTGGAAGAGGCTGTTTTCTTATTCACTCCCTAAATTTCCCAGCTCACAGTCTACTTGTTAGGAATATAGTAGCTTCCCTGAACTTGTTACGAGAAGCCTCAAACTCAAAATCCCTAATTCACCCTGTCAGAGAAATACCAACAGTTATAACTCCCCTTTTTGCCACTGACAGGGAGTATGAACATCAACTAGCCTTCAACTCCCCAGGAGTCTCTTCCCACCCCGAATTCCACTAACATGAATCAGCATTAGACCCTAGGTCCAGACTCCTTGAACCTTCCTCCAATGCCTGATTCTGCTGGACCCAGATAAGAAACCTGTAAAAACCTACCACACTTAACTGGTTGTGGAGAATATACCCTATTCCCTCTGGAGACAGAGAAGGCCACCTAACTCCATTCAGAATCTTATTGGATTCTCCTGTGTTCATCCATCCTGGATTTTGTCTTATTATAAACTCCATGTTTCCTTGTATGAGACTATGGTATTCAGAGTGGAACCTTCCTAAGTTGCGTTGACAACACCCTCCATGGGACATTTTTCTCAGCTATGTGGTGATCTGGGGCGGGGGGGGAATTTTTCTTGGGTAGGGGGAAGAATTTTCCCAGTGGCATCTTCTGATTGCTGCTGTGGTGACTGTGTATCAATTAGGTTATAAATGCCTTAAACCAACTCCTTGCTCAGAAAAGGGAGACTGTTGGGACCATGCACAACAGGAAAAGGGGATGGAATGGAGAAGTATTGGGTCACACAGAGATAAGTGTAGTTGTGTTGGAGCCAAGATTGCTGCTTGCATAGACTTACTTTCCCCAAACTTACTCCAGCAAAAACATTAAATTCTTATCAGACCAAATAATGATCAAGAACCGTGAGAAACTATAGCGACTTTTTTGATCCCAGAAATGCACAAAAAGTCAGCCAGTCACCTATAGGAAATAGGAAAGAGGGGCACTGACAAGCTAGTACCAACTGAGGCAAATAAGGCCATAGCCTCCAAGATACATATAGTCTTTAGGGCTTTCTATCCCTCTCACTCCCAATCACCAGAGTGCTGTTTTGGGGAGCGGCAGAGACCAATTTGGATGCAGTAACAAACAGACTGGCTTAGTACCACTCAGACCAGAATAGCCCAGGAACTAGGGACTCCAAGGTCCACAGCATTCTATCCTGTCATGCCACAGACAGCACTAAAGATCCAACACTCCATGACATTTGAAAAGTTTAAGAGACATAATTTCTGGGTAATTTAATAATTGTATTGATAATGCTAGCATGTTTATTAATAAAAGGATGGTCATTTGGCCGTCTCTCTTAGACCAAAAACCCCTCACAGGTGGGCTCACAGTTTTTGTGTCCTTGGAAGAGCAGGTGTTCCTAAGGGTGGCAATCAACTCTGGTTAATAATTAATGAGAAAATTAATATTACAACAAGACACTGGGCTATATTACAATAAGGGTTTTGGGGTATCTGACTTGGATCACCCACATCTTGGTCAAAGAGACTTAACAATTTTCATATCACCTGTCTGATGAAAGAGAGAATCAACACTTTACCAAACCTGTGTGAATAAATACAATGAGCAGGAATGCATCCATTAGATTAAACTTAGAATTTCTTTTACTGTCCGATTAGATCTTGGCCTGGGTAAATATTTGAGAGAGATTTCCCATACTTTTAATTTCTGGGTGAGGAAGTAGAACTGATTGAATAATTAGTTATTAATACAAGAGAGAAATAATCATTTCTGATTCAACTCTGAACCCCCCAAATCTTGAGACCTTGGGAAGTAGAAAGCAGTATAGGAACCTAGGGGACACAGGGCAAGACCAAGCAGGCCTAAAAAGAACAGCAGGAGTTGGAGTGGTGCTCAGCATCTGATCTAACTTGTCCTATATTGTAGAAGGAATCAAGTTCCTGGTTATTATTGTTGTTCTTCCCCCCCCCCCCGTTTATGTCAGATACAGATTTCTAGTTATCAGGTTTCTACAAAGAGAGGATATTACTACTAATGACTACGTGACTGTTGTCGGCCTGTATCAGATAGGTAACTAGGTCATGGGGATACTGCAAGACTGGGGCAGCCAGGTTGCTATGCCACTGGGCTGCATCTATTTGGGTTGAAGTCAGTAGAATGCTCAGCCCCTGAATTCTTTACAATGCAATATCTCTTTAGATTGAGTCAATCTATTGTACTCTCTAGGGTCTCTCTTCAATGAGTGACTGAAATCTTCACCACCTTCATCCTCTAGGTTGGCTAGGAATTATTGAGCTCTCTTCAGTTATGAGAATGGATAAATTTAGGGGCAGCTAGGTGGCACAGTGGATAGAGCACCAGACCTGAAGTCAGAAGGACCTGAGTTCCAATCCGACTTCAGACCAAATACTTGACACTTACTACCTGTGTGACCCTGGGCAAGTCACTTAACCCCAATTGCCAAAAAAGAAGAGAAAAGAGAATGGATAAATTTGACCAATTAATAAATGGTCGAAGAATATGAACAGGCAGTTTTCTAATGAAGAAATCTAAACAATTTGTAGTCATATAAAAATACTCTAAACAATTATGGATTAGAGAAATGGAGATTAAAACAACCTTGAGATACCATTTTATACCTACCAGATTGGCTAAAATGATAGAAGGGAAAAGTGACAAACATGGGAGAGGATGTAAAAAAACTGGGACACAAATTCATTGTTGGTGGAATTGTAAAATGATCCAACCATTTTGGAGAGCAATCTGGAATTGTGCCCAAAGAGTTATTAATCAACCTATATACCCTTTGACCCAGCAATACCATTACTTGGTCTATTTTCAAAGATGATTAGGGAAAAAGGAAAAGAACCTATATGATCTAAAATATTTATAGCAGCTCTCTTTGTGGTGGCCAAGAACTGGAAACTGCAAGGATGCCCATCAATTGGGGAATGGCAAGTTGTGGTATATGATTGTGATGGAATACTACTGTGTTATAAGAAATATTGAACTCAATGATTTTGGAAAACATGGAAAGA